GTTGATCGTTATGACGACCGTCTAATGAAGATTGTTGTCGTCATCGAACGTAAGCGATACCACTTCTTTTCTGCATATGCTCCGCGACAGACTAGCGAGTTCCTCCCGCCCAACGAGTTCTTGGAGTTCTCTGAGCGAGCCAGCGAGTTCCTCCGCCAACGAGTTCTGGGCCTTGCTGGATGAAAAGACTGCAGATGTACCGTCAGAAGAGGCTGTCATTGCCGCAGGTGACCTTAACGGTCACGTCGGCACTGCGAAAGACGGGTACAACTGTCATGGTGGATTTGGATATGGGTCACGTAACAACGATGGCGAACGAATTCTTGAGTACGCAAATTCGCACGATCTCACCATCGTGAATACGAATTTCCGGAAACGTGATTCCCACCTCATCACCTTCTATAGCGGTACTACCAGAACGCAAATCGACTATGTCCTCGTCAGGCAACGCGATCGAGGGCTCGTAACAGACGCAAAGGCGGTGCCGTATGAGACTGTCACCACGCAACATCGACCGCTGATTTGCACGCTGAAGATCGCTCCTCCGAAATTGAAACAAATCGAGCGGTGTGGACCAGCGAGAATCAAGTGGTGGCGTTTGAAAGAGAAGGAGGCGGTCGTGATATCCAACATTCAGTTGCCGGCAGTCACTACTGTTGAAAACTTGGAAAAGTGCTGCCGAGGCGATAATCCGTTCTGCCCGTTCCGAACTCGGCACAACAAAACCTGGGCGACGGAAGATCGACAAGCAAGCGTGGCTATGGACGGACGATGTTAAAGAAAAAGTACGTGAGAAGAAGAGGCTATACCACGTATTTCTTGGCGATAAGACTGTCGACAACTGGCGGAGTTATCAGGCAGCTAAGAATGCGACAAAGAAGGCCGTTGCTGCCGCAAAAGCTGCCCACTTTGCCGATGTTAGCGAGAAGCTCGAGACGCGCGATGGTGAACGCTATGTTTATCGTCTTGCCAAAGCCCGCCATCGCCAGTCCGAGGACATCGAGAAGTTTTTCGGCATCAACGACGAAAATGGTAACCTCCTGACGGACCGCAAGAAAGCAGTGAAGCGATGGCATGATTACTTCGAGAACATCTCAGCCGTAGAATTTGCCCATCCAGCAGTCCCTTATGTCCCGCCAGTGCAAGGTCCTGTGCAGAGAATAACCGTGGAGGAAACGGAAAGGGCTCTGAAGAAGATGAAGTCAGGAAAGGCTACAGGTCCCGATGATTTGGCGGCCGACATATAAAGGATAAAGGATAAAGCATTTGCCGTTGATCAATCCCTTTTGGGATGCGGCACGCATTCTACTTCCATTTGTACATTCGCAGTGGCATTTGAATGCGATGTGGCCTATACAATGACTTGCGGGGGCCAGCCGATGTACAAGTCAGTGTTTTTATCCTCCCAGACAAGTCTGGTACCAATTAACCGACCCCGGAGGGATGGAAGGCTTGGTTCCCAGGATTTGATCCCGGACCGCTCGCGTGGTAAGCGCGCCACTTGTCACTGCACCACTTCCGCCCTCGGCCGACATATGGAAGTCAAAATGCTGGTGTCCTACCGAATGGTTGACCAAGTTTTTCAACCAGATCGTAGCAGAGAGAAGGTGCCTGAGAGTTGGCAGCAGAGCACAACGATTCCGATTTGGAAGAAGAAAGGCAGCCCTGCTGACTGTACGAGCTACCGTCCAATCCGCCTGCTCTCGCACAGCATGAAGATCTTTGAGCGAATTTTGGACGGCCGTATTCGTGACATCGTGCAGCTTTCCATCAACCAGTGTGGATTTGTGTCAGGCTGCGGCACCATCGATGCAATACATGCCGCCCGCCTTCTGTTGGAAAGACATCGCGAGAAAAGAAAAGCTGTGCATCTTGCCTTTCCTGGACCTGGAGAAGGCTTTTGATCGCGTTCCTCGAGAAGTCATATGGTATGCTTTACGACAGCACGACGTTCCTGAAGAGCTCATTGAGTGGGTGCGCATACTTTACTCGAACTCAAGGAGTCGGGTGCAAACGGTGGCAGGTACTTCGATGGAATTCCCCATCTCGGTCGGTGTGCACCAGGGCTCCGCGCTTTCCCCACTCCTATTCATTGTCGTTATGGATGCCATTTCGCGTGATCTTCAGAAGCCCGCTCCATGGACGCTTCTTTATGCTGATGACGTGATGCTCGCATGTGATGACAAACATCTGCTCGAGCAACAGGTGCAAACCTGGTCCGACCGTCTGGCTATGTTTGGGCTCAGGTTGAATGTGAAGAAGACAGAGTACTTGACCACCGATTTGAGTGAGTCAGGCACAATTAAGATCAGTGGCACTGAGCTCACACGTACAACATCGTTCAAGTATCTTGGGTCGGCAATCGCGTCCGACGGCAGCCTGATCTCTGAAGTAAACTCCCGGGTGAGTGCAGCTTGGTCCAAGTGGCGCTCGATGACCGGCGTTCTCTGCGATAAGAAAATACCAGAGCGACTGAAATCTAAGATCTACAGAACCGTCGTCCGACCAGTCGCCATTTACGGAGCAGAGTGCTGGCCCGTGACTAAAGAGGTTGAGGCTCGTCTCAGTGTAATGGAGACAAAAATGCTGCGCTGGACTGCCGGGGTTACCCGTTTAGACCACATTCGCAACGATACCATCAGAAAGCGGTTCGGTGTGGCTCCCATCGCTGATAAGATGCGCGAAGCTCGCCTGAGGTGGTACGGTCACGTCCTTCCGCGCTAATGATGAGAGTGTCCGTAGGATCGGTCTAGACTTTAACGTGCCAGGAAAGCGGCCAAGAGGACGCCCGAAGCAACGATGGCTTGATACGTTGCATGAGGACTTGAAATTAGTTGGCCTTCACCCCGATCAGGCACATAATCGGGAAAAGTGGCGTCGTAATACCAGGAAAGCGGACCCCGCCACAGGGTGGGACAAACGCTAAAGAATAAGAAAGAAGACTGTTTTTTTTTCACCACACACCTCGAGTGAGTTTAGTTAAATAGGGCTAAGAAAAAATAGCCTTTTGCATGTTTCGCAACAATTTCAAAGATGAGTGAACTGCTTCCAACAACATTTCAACTTTGTAATTTTTGGAAAGCTACCCCAGCCGAAATTCGCTCCCGCTCTCGAATAGGGCTTTCTGGAGTCAGATGCGCCCTAAATCCGATCCTCTGAATAAATAACATTGACCACTGTGTGAAGATTGTAACAAACATTTTCGAGAAGCGTGCCGCACTCTTCGAGTCTTATGGACCAATTAGAAGCAAGCATTTATCGCACTGTGAACCCTTCTCACTTATATTAGGTTGTCCCATAATTAGTGAATCACTTTGGGTATTTTTGAATTCAAATTTTTTTCTTTTTTATTCGAAGTCCTTGCTCATCCAAACATACACCTCTGTCATCTACAATGTATTGCCTATTCATGGGAATTTAGTCGCTGTCTTTCCTCTGAAATTGCAGGAGCTCTTGAACGAAGAAAGACCGGAAGTCGGGTTTGAGGTCATGTCACTTAGCGTAAAATTTCTTCCTGGGGAAGAGCGCTAGAGCTCAGACTGAGTTGTCTTTTGTTGGCACGAGGATAGGGCTACACGGCGGAGGTGAAAGAACTGCTAGCCTGAGAGTCTCCAATTTTTTATGAATATTCTCCGCAAGGTGGGGTCGAACGACCTCAGGAAAAAAGCAGACTTTGTCTTGCTTTACTTTCAAATTGAATGCGTCGCCATTACGCCGTCGACCTTCACCTTCTTCATTGACTATTGACGCAAAGTCCCTGGCGTGTTCCAGCAATATCTCGGAAATTTCGGACTTGAAAGAAGGTTCGGCTTTTGCTGTCAGAACTCCCGAATCTTTCATGCTAGGCTAGCTTGGAGATTTGCTAGTACACTCCACCCAGTCCAGAACCCTGGTGAATATGCTGGATGATCACTGTAAGGAACTAAGAGATCAGGAACATGATGATGTCAGATCGTGTGTGGAGCTGTTCGGGCTCAGAGCATACAAGATACAAACTCCATATTTCCAAACTTTGCGACTCTACGAAGATGGCTGAATTCCATCACCATAACTAGTCGAACACGCTGTGGCAAATAGCAAGTTGTTCAGATCCATTCAGATCCAATCTCAGCGGGCTCGGTAGGAAGATTGTTAGCCGAGGGGTAGTTGGAGTGTGGGTCATCTCCAAATAAAAAAAACCAACCATGGAATAGAGTAAACCATAGGTGCACCGTGGATTGAGGGAGCGTGCCTTCGCGTGCCGTATCTGCTGGTTGATCCACTATGTTGTTTGGCGTTTGAAAGATCCTAGTCAGATTAAAAAGGAAGATCAGGTTGTAGAAAAATTGATGTAATAGCCACGTAAGGCAGCGTGTAAATGGGCTGACCAATGCTCAGGTAGGATGTGGGTGCTACTTCGCAAAACATGTTTCACGCCTTCACCATTTTTCTTGGATTTTTATAGCAATAAATGTAAAGTGATTCACTAATTATGGGACAACCTAATAGTTACAAGCTTGTTTCAAAGGCTCCGCGTGAAAATCTGTAGCAATGACGCCTGTTTCGCCACCGTTTTCAACTGTGAGTTTAGATATACCTTTCTGATTACTCGCATAAATGATAAGAGCTAAAGCATTCAGCGTTGACCAATTCCCTTCACATACGCCACCTGCACATCAGCACTTTGAATGCGATGTGGCCTATACAATGACTTGCGGGGGCCAGCCGATGTACAAGTCAGTGTTTTTATCCTCCCAGACAAGTCTGGTACCAATTAACCGACCCCGGAGGGATGGAAGGCTTGGTTGGCCTGGACGACGCACTTTCCAGGAGTTGATCCCGAACCGCGCAGCTTGCCACTGCACCACTTCCGCCCGGAATAAGCGTATAACATTTGCGATTCCGGAAATGTAATGCATTCTTTCACTTCCGTTATTTGCGTACTGCCAACAAGTAAGACTTGAAAGCATCTTCGCAGCCTGCACCCTTAAACTATCCAACATCATCACAAAATATACCTTCTCACGGCAGAGCCACCTAGCAAATCGAAAGTCGAGAGGATCGTTTGTTGAATCTGCCTTTTTGAATGGTCCGTCTGGAAGGCATTGAGGAAGTAAATCAGGACTCAAAACCACCAAGAAAATCAATAAAAGTAATAAAAATGCTGACCTAGCTTTCCGAATTGAGCCAACATGAAGTATCCCGCCTCAGGACGAATCGGTTCAAAACCGGCATCATACATCATCTTATACATCTTATCACATTTGATTCCAAGCTCGGTAGGGAGACCAGTTAAGAGGTAGGAACGACTTGGATCAGATTTAAATAAAACAAGCCTTAAATTTATAATTAAAGATGTAATAATTTAATGTATATACATGAATAGACCAACTCTTTTTCAAAGGCGCACGCGAGAGCCTCTTGGGTTGGAGTACTGCATGTGAAGACACAGTTCTGGTGTATCCTCTGAACGATTATTCATTGTCTTTCTCTTGAATAAATGGAATAGTGAGAGCATAGAAAAGGAAATGAACCTTCAGTGGAGTCAAGAGATGTTCTGGACCAACACACCAACCCAACTTCCATCCTGTTACAGAGAACGCTTTTCCTGCACTGCCAATTGAAATTGTTCGATCATACATCCCAGGAAGACTAGCTAAACAAAATAACGTGAACAGCTGAAATGTAAGACCGCTTTATTGTAGACTGAAATGCATCAAACTGGAAGGGTAGCTCGTTTTCTTGATCCAGGAATTCGTTCAAAAATATTATACCTTCTAATGCTGGTCCACGTTTTTCTCGTTCAGTCATTACATCCAGAGTCAACCCTGCGTTGCGCAGTTCTCAACGGCCACGTTGCGCAGTTTCGCCCGATTAGACACGTTCTCTCGCGCGAACATTCACACTCGCATGCTCGAGCCGTCTGTGTCTCCGCCCATACAGCGTGCGTTGAGGATCTCTCAACGTGCCGTTGCGAACTGCGCAACGCAGGGTTGACTCTGATTACATCTGATCTGTTTAAATTTGCCGTCTTATAATTCCGCCTCTAGCTATTGTTCCATTTTCGTTCCTTTCCTTCTTTCCGCACGGCTAAATTGAAATCCTTTCC